GGAAGCAGGACGATGGTGGCTCCGAGCTCCGGCCCCTCTCCATCCCCTTCCCCTTCTTCGGTGCGGGGCACACCGGCCTCTATGTGAGTAATTCCCACTATTCCTACTTTTTCCCTCCCTCTAATTCCCTCTTCTCTGTTTCATTCTTCTTCTTCCCTTCCTCTTCTCTCCTCTTTCCTGTCGTGCTTGGATGAATCCGAGTTTCCTTGGGGGCCATCAGGTGGTCCCCGCTTCACTGGGAGCCTCAGCGGTGTGCCGGGGATGGTGCGGTGGGTTTGGGTCAGTGTGGGGGTCCCCAGGCAGGATCCTGGCCCCAGTGCCTTGGGAATGCTCACCCACGGTGGGGAGCCCTGGCTGGAGCCTGCATTCCCTGTACACCCACAGCTTGTGGCACTGGCTGGGTGACATGCTGGGGGATCCCGGCAGCAGGGAGCTGGGCACATCTGGTGGGCAGGAGCCCAGAGCTGGTGTGCTGCAGCCTTGGAGTGGTGGCCCTTGCTGCAGCAAAGGGGTGTTGGTGGGGCTCTGGGTGTGATGTAGAATAAAGACAGCTGCACTTTGGGCTGCCCACTCGGCACATCTGATTCCCTTGCTTTTCCCTACGCCTACTAGGACTGTTGGTGACACGCTCCCTTGCAACCCCTAAGCCACCAGGAGGGGTCTGTGGCCAAAGAACTCGAATCATGCCTGGCCCATCGTGTCCCCTGTGGCCAGAGGGGCAAGCCCAAGTGCCTGGCTGTCCGTGGAGTCTTTTGGGTGGTGCTGTCTTGCATCCAGAAGTGAGATTTGGGCTCCCCATCCAGTTTCCGCCTGGCACAGTGAATCCTTCAGTATCCTGATCCCATCTCCCCAGTTTGCTCTGGGCTTAATGATGACCCAGACCCAGGTGGCAGAGGAGAGGGCTGAGCATTGCCTTGATGCCATCCCAGAGCTGGGCTCATGTACCATTCCACTGCCTTGGCTGCACAGGGGGTCCTTGGTCCTACCTGGTTGTGTTTTTCCCCTGATCAAAGCACCAGCCCTGCCATCGGGGAGGAGGGATCCAGGCTTGGGGCTTGAGCCACTGTGGGAGGATAGAAGGGGCTGGGAGAAGCCAGGTGACATGATGGTTGTCCTATAGAGGATCCACAGTGTAGCTGTAGATCTTGGAGGGGCTGTAGGGATCAGAGGACAGTGTATCCCCTTTCCCTGAGCTAAAACCCCACAGCTCTGCAGGGCCAGCTTGCCTGCCCCCAGCACAGAAATCCATGTGGCAGGAGCCCTCCTCCCCAGGGAGCTGCTGTCCAGGGGGACTGGCACAGGGCTGAGTTCACCTGGAAACCTCTGTTCTCAAGGGCTGCCTCCAACCACCCCCCTCCTCCTTCACAAAAACCAGCAACAACAAAAAAAGCCCTTCTTGGCTCTGGTTCTCTCCCATCTTGCTTTAATCAAGGGAAGAATGTTCCTCTGCGGACACAGTGGGGTTACAGAGGCTTTGGGAAAACAGAATCCTCTTTCCCTTAGTCACAGTAAGGACTGCCCTGTGCTCAAATGGAGGGGCTGTGAACCCTGCTCAGGCACTGGGGAGCTCCCCCAGGGACTGCACAAGGCCAGCACAGCTCAGCCCCCCCGTGTGGGTGTGCTGGCAGCTGGGGTGAAGGCATTCTGGCTTCCACATGGCTCCGGGGGATGCTGGCTCCCAGCTCCTCTTTGGCACACGAGTGTGACACCACTGCTTGCCTGCGTGCCAGAGCTGCTCTCTCCAGTTGAGAGCCTCTTGCCTGCACCAGGCCCCTTTTCCATCCTGCCTGGAGAGCTTGGCTGGAGTCTCTGTGTTCCTGCCTGTCCCACGGTCGCTGTGGGCTGGGGAGCAGAGTGGCTTGGAGCTGACTGGACTGCCAGCCATGGCACTGTGGCAGGGTCATCTCCAGGGAATTTGGGAGCTCAGGGTGAGAGCATTTCCCTGTGATCCCTGTTCAGGCAGGCAGGGGGTTTCTTCACCTTCCTCATTCCCACTGCATCCCCAAGTTGGGAGGTAACACTCCAGGCAGCAACATCCACTAGCTCCAGTTTCCTTCCCTGAGCTCCGGCTGTCTCTGCCATCCCAGAACCATAATTGCCCCAATTAGTTAGTGCTGAGGAACAGCTTGAATTATCTCACCCTGGGGGTCTGCCATCCCCCACT